TTTTTGCCCCTGCAGGTCCCTGCTCCCGGAGGAATGGCAAGGATTTAGGGGAAAAGAAACAAGCAGAGCGTGCAGCAAGGAGAATTTCATATTCCCAATGTTTTCTGGTTCCCATTTTTAATTGTTGTGGGGGGTTTTTTCCCCTTCCCAAAGGACTGGCAACCAGGAAGGCTCCGAGACATCCACCCCAGTGAGCTGAATTCCTGGAGAACAACCGCTGGAGCCTTGAAAGGCCCTCGGGATTGCTTGGAGTTAAAAGGGTGTCTTGGCATTTAAAAACACATCTGGGACTTTACCACGGGGAAAAGACCTGTTCTGTTGCCATCAGCACCAGAGGGGGAAGCAGGTCTGAGCCCAGAAGGGAGGATGAAGGGGTGGAAGTGGTGTTTGGTGCACCAAAGATCCCTGGAAATCCATCCTGGCATCACTTGTGTCCCCAGCGCAGCTCCGTGGGAATTCTGGGCTGGGATGAGCACAAAGAACGGGATGAGAACTGGGCAAACCCTCAGTACCTTCAGCTGGAGCCAAAGCTGCTCCCAGGGATGCTTTTCCCCGGCAGATTCCCGGGATCCTGCTCCTGCAGTGGGGTCTGTGTGGGGGAGGGCAGGGCTGGCTCAGCAGGCAGTGCCCGGCAGGGAGGGCAGCACAGCCCCAGCTCTCCCGTTCAACTGGCGGGGACACAAATCCCACAGCTGGGTGACACCTGAGCCAGAGTGTCCCTGTCCCACCTGGCACCCAGCTGAAGCTTGGGAATGACGGGAGAAGGCAGCAGAGCACAGGCAGTGCCAGCAGGTTGTGCTGCTGTGGCTGGGACGGGCTGAGGCTGCAGGAGGGCAAGGCTCGGATTGTTATTTGGGAAAAGCCTGGTTATCCCAAAGGGTAGGGGGAAGCAGGCATGGACACATGGCAGGCATGGACACATGGCAGGCATGGACACATGGCCCTCTTGGAGGGCAGCACTTGGCACCTCTGCACGTCCCAGAGCTGCAGTGACACAGGGAGGGTCAGCACAGGGACATCCATCAGGGGAACTCACACACACACACCTGCCTTTGGGGCTAAATCCCCCCTATCTGGGGCTTTTCTGTCTGAAATCAGAAACTCGGGGGGTTCTGCTTGGAGTGGAGCAGCTGCCCTGAAATAACCACAGCTGCAAACCCCAGGTCAACATTTAATGTTGCTGGATATTTATTTCACTCTATTAACTTTATACCCGACACAGGCACTTAATGAGAGCAAAACAAACAGGTTGCACTTTGGAGAAACAAGATATGGGGGTTGGCTGGGAGGGAAGGACCCAGAATACATATCATAAAGATATCAGGATAATCCATTTATTGATTAGCAATTGTGCCAGGAGTGTAAATTGGTCACTTGTAGCTGTTCCAGGGCACCATTTATTACATGGAAAGCTTTGGGAGCCCCTGGCTCGTGTCTGGTGGCTGAAGGACTAAGCCACGGGTTAAGTAGTCGCTGTGAAAGTAGTAATTACTCCCTAATAGCTCTGGACTCCTAATCTACACTAATAACAAACATCCTTCTGAGCCTTTATCTGGGTGCAATATTGGAGCAGGAGTTTTGCTGGAGAGCCTGGCAGTTGTGTAACTATGGAGCAGGGAGAGCCGGGTGGGGATCATTCCGAGCTCTCCTGCTGCAGGAACACAGTGGCTGAAACCAGTGTCTGTCTGACATTCTGTCTCAAAAGAGAAAGAAAACCCTCGCTTTTTAGAAAGAAAGTGGAAAATGGGTAGAGTTTATGTGGAGACACGAACCTCATCCTGAAGGATTTTGGGACAAGATCCACTGTGGTCGTGTATCCACAAAACCCTCTCCCACACCAAAGCCACCAACACTTGTTTTGCCATGATTGCTGCAATTCCACTAAGGAATTGCTTCTTGCTCAGCCCTGTCAAGCAGAAATCCTTCTTCTTTCCCACATAATTCCCTGATGCAGCTGAGGCAGCACAGAGCCGGAAGGATCCCCACAGCCCTCCTCCCCCAGGTGTGGGGGTGAATCCCCGAGCAGCTCCGCTCAGCTCCACACAAACAAGGCTGGCAGAACCCCAGGGGAAGGTTTGGACTTGGAGAACCTCCTCCCAAAGCTGAGGCTGCTCCAGGAGCAGGGCTGGGATGGGGATGTGCTCTGGGAGCCAGCACAGGCAGCCACGGGCACCGCTCAGTGCAGGATGGGAGCAGAGCTGGGATTGGGGGTTAGGCTGGAGCAAACCGGGAATCCTGCCCTGCTCCTTCACCAGCAGGATGTGATGGGATCTGCAGCAGCAGGAACACACCTGGTGGCAATCCCAAAGCAGGACTCAGTGTTCAAAGGGGTCCAGCCCTCCCAGAGAGATCCAGGGGGAGGTCTGACATCAGGATGATGTCCTCCTGGGCACGGAATCCCAGCAGAGCTGCTGGAAGTGGATTTCCCCCCTGTACTCTGCTGGTACAACCCACATCTGCAGAGCAGCTGCTCCCCTGGATCCAGCTGTGCAAGGGCAGGGTGGGGTGGTGGCCTGGCTGACCTGTGTCCCCAACAGCTGCAGATCCACAGGGAAACTCCATCGCTCACTCTGGACGGGAACTCCCAACGGGGGCTCAGGTCCAGCTGCTCCCCATCACCCCACCACCCTCCACCTCGTCAGCCAGGGCTGCCTCACCGTTCCCTACTGGTTTCCTGCCTCTCCATCCCCAGTTTTCTCCTCTTGGAGTGCACGTTTTGGGGAGCAGATGTTGGATTTGGGATTTTCAGACCCCTGGACTTCGTGGTGACAAAAACAACAATGATGGGACCCAGTGATGTTAGCAAAGTCTTCCCTCCTGTAAGAAAAAGAAGGAGCAGGTTGGATCTCTCCACGGCAAAAGAAAGGATGGAAGTTAAGGAAGGTTTTACCACGGAAGGAGTTGATGTATGGAATTCAGATTTCAGCCAGCGCATTATGCTCTCAATCCCGATTTTGTGATACATAATGGTTTAATTGCCATTAATGTAAACATATCTAAAAAGGTTATTTCCCTGCTCTGGAGGTCAATGCACCTAATGGAGCAGCTCTAAGTGGGTCGGAATTGCTCTGATTAGGTGCTGGATTTCCTGTTTACCTCCTGGAAGTGGGTTTGGTGCTGCACAGCTCAGGTATATAAACACCCCAAAGGCTCTCCTCGCCACCTGAAATCCCCTGGGAGCTCCAGAGAAGGAGGAAGGTAAGGAATTCCATGTCTGTCTCTCTTTGGATCTTTGGGCTGTAAAGGGAAACAGTTCCCTCAGAGGGGAAAATGGCAAATAACAGGTTGGGATTTGCAGCTACACAGGGAAAGGAGGAGAAATAATTGCTTTTTGGTTGCCTTGTGGGACCTCTCAGCTCTGGATCAAACAGGGATAACACTTTTCCCAAGGCAGGTGGCTTTACACAGGGGACTGGAAGAGCTCGGTGTTGCAAAGATCCCCCTCTTTTTTGGGAGAAATCAAATCCTGGGATCAGACCAGGGCAGGGATCACGGGGAGCTCATGCCAGGCAGGGCAGGCAGAGCTCAGCTACTCCAGGGCAGTGTCACACAGGCAAAGGGCTCCTGGATTAATTCAAAACCATTTCCCAACAGTTTATGGAAACATGGACTGTCTTCCTCCCTTTCTGGGTAAGTCCTGCAGGGAGGGAGTTCTGCCCTTCCCTAAAATCAGGGCTACCACACATTCCCTCTCCTAGCTCCATAAATAACTGCCCTATTCTTGCACAACTTTGATATTTTCAGGTCCATCACCATACCCAGAGTTGTATCACCAAGATAAAGAAAAATAAGAGGGAAAACTCCAGTTATTTAGTCATGACTTCCCCCCCCTCCATTCTTATAAAAATACCCCTCAGCTTCTCGTGTAACCAAATTTACTTGTGCTCTCAGTGACTATTTGTTACTCCATAACCACTTATCTTTTGTTCCTTTACCTTCTTTAGCTCTAAGAAATCAGGGGGTTTGCCAGTGTTTAGAGTGTTACACCTTGCTTTTCAGAGGAACTCGATGTCTCTAAGATAATGTAACTCCTTTAGTGTTTTTCTCAATTAATAGGAAGGGCTGAAAACATTTGTAAGAATGTCCTGATTTTTCCAGAGATTAAAAAAAAAAAAATGCCGAAATTACAACAACATCCAAACTTGCAAATTCTTGTTCTCTGCAAAACTATAATGGGGCTGTTGGAAGAGAACAAATAACTACCCAGAGGAATAAAGTTCTGTCGCGTGTGAATAAATTACTGAAGGCTGGGAGATGTGAGTTCTGATCCAGAGCTTTCCCTCTGTCTTTATTTTCGTTAACAGCAGCTCGCCTTTGCCAGAAATAAATACAACAAAGGCAAGGTGAGGGACAACCAAAATATCCCTGAGCCAGGATCAAAGCCTTTTTTTGTGGGGGGTTTGCAGTGCTGGGATAGTAATTAAACGAGCTCAGATGTCCAAGGGCTGTAGGACCGCGGACATGAGGACAAGGAACAGCTTGAAACCAATAAATCTTGGAATCTGCTCCTGTCGCTGCCCGTGGGAGATTTTTCATAACTGATGCTCAGTCCCTACACAGGGCACTACCCATCCCAGCAGAGAAATCCCCCAGAAATTAGCTCAGGCTCCCAAAGCCCGTGGAAGTGCAGGGTGGGGTGAGCAGGGGGCCGTTGCTGCTGAATTCCCTGACCCAACAGACGTTCCCATTCACAGGCTCGAGGCTGAACCGACCCTCAGAGCACAATGAGGTACCCCCAGGGTCAGCTTGTAAACACGGGGGAAGACAAAGCCCTTCCCCCTGGGAATGTGAGACCCACCAGGGATTGGATGGGTACAATAAAAGTTATGGGGACCGGCCCTTAAAAGCCACCGCAGTGGAAGGAGCATCAGCATGGCCGGGGTGACTTCACTGGAAGGGCAGGAGAGGGTTTGGAGATGGGTGGAGGGGACACGTTCACAAGCACAGGCACGTGCCCAGCCACCCCCCATCCCTGTCCCTTGTGTGTGTTCCAGGGGCTGGACACCTGGAATTTCCCCTGCTCTGGGACAGAGAAACCCGCCAGGAAAATGTCCTTCAAGTCTTTCAAGGTTCTCTCGCTGCTCGTCGCCTCCCTGGGCTTCGTTTTGATGGAAGAGAACGTCTCGGGGTAAGTAACACTCTCCAAGTGTTTTGGAAAGCTCCCGGTGTATTTTGAGCCTTTTCCAGCTCCTCTGGAGGCAAATGGACCCTTTCCATTGGCACGGTGGTGAGTAGGTGAGAACATGAGTCCTGAGGTAGATCTGGGATCAGAGACATCCCGGGTACAGAGATGAGCACGAGATAAGAGGGAGATCAAACCAGAGCCCTGAGCCTTTGAGCCAGAGCCAGGAACTCCCATGTTTTCCCTACAAACTTTGTGGCTGTGGGTGAGGAGGAACAAGCTGGAAGTCAACCAGGGAGAGAAGGTTGTCTGAGAACAAGAACAAGATGTAATCACCTTCCATGAACGGGGCCAGAGGGCACCCAGTTCTGGGAAGCTTCTGGAGTTATGACCAGTTACGTAAGGCAGGTAGATTATAAAGACTTTCCCTCTCTTTCCCTGACTCCTGCTAGAAAATTCCCAACTATCACCCCAGAAGATCTAAAAACCTCTTTATTAGAGCAGTGGGAACTGCTGCAATCCCAGAGAACAGCTCTAAAACAGATCAGCCCTGAAATCCATTGCTAACTTGGTGGCCACCAGCTCTGTCTGTGCTGGTTTCGAGGTCATCCCCATCTCCCGCCATCCCCTCTGAGCCTCTCGAGGGCACGGGGGAACTTTCCCACCAGAGGAGAGATCCTGAGCACGGTCGGTGCCTCAGCCCAGCGACAAATGGATGGGGAAAACCACCCTGATTCCAGAGCAGCAGCAAATCCCCGGAGCTGGTCTCCTCCTGAGCCCCCAAATCCGGGCTGGAATTGTGTGGAAAATGGGTGAGGGGAGTGCCAGCCCCTGCCCAGGGCATGAAGGGCTGCCCGGAGCAGGGCAGAGGTTCAAAGTGCTGCTGGCAGGGGGGTGTGACCCCAACCCCCGTTATCTCCCGCTCGGGCAGGACTCACTGTGTGTCCCTGTGCTCTCATCCCAGCGCCAGCCTGAGGATTCCCGCTGCCAGCACAGTGCAGAGACGCTACTCCGAGGCCACCCTGGCGAGCGACTACAGCCGCACGATGGACAACATGCTGAAGAAGAACTTCGTGGAGTGGCTGCTGGCCAGGAGGGAGAAGAAAAGCAAGTAAGTGCTTGGACTTCCACCGCTCCCACATCCCAAATTCCGGCTGTCGCCAGCCAACCGCTGGCTGGAGCAGGCAGAGCCGGGGCTGTTTTCCTTGGAGTGCAGCGGGGATTCTCCAGGAGCTTGGTTTTCGGGTTGTGTCTCCGAAGCCGAGGAAGCGTTTCTGATCTGTCGGCATCTCCCTCCCTGGCCAAACCCGCCTGGCAGATGGAGCGGGAGGGAGCTGGGATTTGTGGAAAAGCAACATTCTGGCACCCTCTTGTGGCATTTCGGGCTGATTTCTTCCCCTTTGGACTTCGCAGCGACATCGTGGAGTACAAGAGGGAAGCTGAGCCCCAGGGACCAGCTGCGGGTGGGCAGAGAACGGACTTGGGCTCCCAAGAAGCCAAAGATTTCCTCACCTGGATTCTGAGAGCCAAGGGAAATCAGAGGTGAGGGGGGCGAGCAGAGAGGGGAAGTCGGGAGGCAGGGAGGGATGAGGATTCCAGGTGTTTAACATCCTGGGGCATAAGGGTGACAAGCAGGAAAACAGGAGGGGTTTGACTTGAAAAAGGAAATTCCGAATTTTGCGATTCTCTCTGCCGATGGAAAGAGCAAAGCCGAAAATAAAATAGCCTAATTTTGAAGTTTCTCACATAATACGAAAGGAAGGACGTCATGCGGAGGATTGGGGTTGTCTTGTTTTAGCCAGTGCCAGCACAGGCTCATCAAAGGTCAGATTTTTGGCAGGGCTGGGGCACATCCACCCCTCAAACACCCCAACCCCCAGGGAGTGGAGAAGCCAAAACGAAGAGCTTTGACCCGCTCAAAACAAAGCCCTCTGGAAAGCAAACTTCTCAGTTAAAGTGAGATGGAACTGATACATTTCTGCCAAAGGTTTTGATTTGATCAAATCGCCCCAGAGGAAAAAAAACAAACCAAGCAGAACCAACCCCACTCGTTCACACTCAGAGTGTTGACCTGTTCATTTAAAAAGAGGAAACAAATTATTATTTCCTTTTATTGCTGCTTTTAAAGGGGAAAAAAACCCTGTCAGCTAAACATGAAACAAGGCAGGAGAGATTCCTGCCTGCTCCAGGAGGAATTTCCCAGCTTATTCCTGATCTGAGAGAACCCACAAAGGGCACAGATTTCATTTTTTTTCTTCTTTTTTTTTTTTTAAAGCTGTAATCACCTTAAAATACTTCTAAGATGTAATCACCTTAATGATTACACACACCATCATTATTATAATACATCATTAAGAACGTTTTTAATCATCCTCAAATGTTCCTAAAGATGAAATCCCCTGCGAGTGGTCCCAGGGAATGGTGGGGAGGTGCAAACAGGTACCTCTGGGCCAGGTAAGGGAGTCCATCTGGAGCTCCTGCCGCTCATCCCGTGTTTTCCAAACCATCTGGCTGGGGGCTGGTGCATCTCAGCAGCTTTGTGCTGTGTCAGCGAGTCCACAGCCTGGCAATGGGCTGCTCCACCTCCCCCCAGCCCAGCTTATGCCACAAACCTTCAAAAAAGCAAATTAGACTCCAGCCTGCAGGAAAACAATCTGCTCTGGGGAGCTTTCTGTGTTCAAAAAATACCCACCAATAAACACTGAATTTCTGTAGCGTGGAGGGATTTTAGGAAACCTCACAGGCTGCTGCTGTAAGGAAGGGGGAGGGGGAAGAAGCACTTACAACACCCAGCCCACTTTTCCAGGCACAATCCTGGTGTTTTCTGGGAAAAAAAAAAAAAAAAGGGATTTTTAACTACAGGGGGTCATGGGACAGTCACCCAGAACAAGAATCTGGGGATGTTTCTTGTTTTTTTTCCAGCCTTTGCATGATAACAGTGTCAGAAAAGAGGGTTTGGGGCGAGCAGGGCAGGGGAAAGGAGCAGAGTTGTGGTTCACAGAGGTGTCTGGGGCCAAGCACTTGGAAAAATGCGACACCCAGAGCTGCCAGTCGTCCTGAAAATCCAGAATCAAAGGAACCAGGGCTTTGAGGGATCCGGGGAGGTCGCTCAGTCTGACCCCTGCTCCAAAGCAGGATCAAACTGGTCCTGACAGATGTTTGTCCAACCTGTTCCGGGGCAGGGGAGGAGGGGGAAGGGAGAGCTTTGATGCTCAAGATTAATCAGCTTGATTAGTTTCATCTGAAAGAGTAATTTCTGGTGTGTTCCTAAGTGCTCTTCGTTGTAAAAAATAATGCAAGTCGCAGGGGAAAGCCCTTTTGGAAACAGAGGTGTTTTGTTGGGAGTTTGGAGCGTGGATGCTGCTTCCCCCCCCCGCCTTTGTGAGAGGATTTGGGATGCAGGGAGTTGTTCCCTCCCCTCCCCTGAGCCTGAGAGACTCTGCTGAGCAGCCCAAACACTCCAAGATCAAGGGATGTCCCCGTGTCAACACGAGGTTAAAGCTTTTTGGGGGGGTTATCCCAGTCGGAGAGATGAGACAGTGAAATCTCCCTGTGAACTTGGGGGGGTTGGGAAAAAGGGATGTCAGACACAGGATTTTTTTGGGCTTGCCTCTCATCTGTGTTTTTATGACTATTTTTACAGCTTTTCTTCTCTGGAAGACTCAGAAGGGCTGAAGGGTGTTTTGAACCCCGAGTTCCTGACGTGGTTGATGTCGACTGATCTCTGCAGACCAAGGTGAGTGGCTGTTCTACGTGTTCCCAATGGATCCCTTGTCCCCAAAAATACCTGTTGCAGTGCTCAGTCCATCAGTTTAGGGTTTCTTTGGATAACCAGAGTGCTTCCACGGCACTGTTTGGCTGCCGCATCCCTGGAAGTGTCCAAGGCCAGGTTGGACGGGGCTTGGAGCAGCCTGGGATAGTGGGAGGTGTCCCTGCCCACGGCATGGGGTGAGACTGGATGGGATTTAAGGTCCTTCCCCTGCAAAAGGTGCAGGGACACAGGAATTTATGCTTTTCTTTCCCATTTCTTCTTTGTTAGAACTGCATAAATCCAGGGCTCTCCCGAGGAACTCCCTCTTCATCCCATCAGACACACGAGGAGGAGGAGGAGGATGGTTTCTTCTACTTACCCTGCTCTGTGCACACAGTTTATTTTATTCATGCAATAAAGAGTTTTTAATTTGAGGCCGAAATAAGATTTGGAGAAACCTAATGTGGGGATGGGCTATAAAATATTGCTGAATTGCTAAATAAATGTCATAGAATCACAGAACGGTTTGGTTGGAAGGGACCTTAAAGCTCATCCATGGGCAGGGACACCCTTCCACCATCCCAGGCTTCTCCAAGCCCCGTCCCACCTGGCCTGGGACAATCCCAGGGATGGGGCAGCCACAGCTGCTCTGGCAAAGCTGTGCCAGGGCCTCGCCACACACGGCCTGAGCCCCCCTGAGCCCCTCAGAGCCCTCCCTGAGCCCCTCAGAGCCCCCCTGAGCCCCCCAGAGCCCCTCTGAGCCCTTCAGAGCCTCCTGGAGCCCCTCAGAGCCCCCTCCCAGCCCTTCAGACCCCACCTTGAGCCCCTCGCACCTCTCGAGTCCCTCAGACCCTCCCCGAGCCCCTCAGACCCCACCTGAGACCCCCTGAGCTCCTCAGACCCCATCTAGGACCCTTTGAGCCCCTCAAAGTCCCCCTCAGATCCCCCCAGAGCCCCTCAGACCCTCCCTGAGCCCCTTAGGATCCCACTTGAGCTCCCCGGAGCTCCTCCCGGAGCCCCCCAGCTCCCGCTGTCCCCGCTCCGAGCCCCTCCCGGTGCCGGTCCCTCCCCTCAGGGTGTGCCCTGTGCCGGTCCGTCCCTCCCGGTGCCGGTCCCTCCCCTCAGGGTGTGCCCTGTGCCGCTCCGTCCCTCCTGTGTCGGTCCGTCCCTCCCCGGCGCCGGGCGATGCCGTCAGCGGCGGGGCCGCCATGCACCGGCGAGGGGTGGGCGCGGGGGCGATCGCCAAGAGGAAACTCGCCGAGGTGGGGGGGACACGGCATGGGGACGGGGATGGGGACGGGGATGGGGACGGGGATGGGGTCAGGGGGATGGGGACGGGGATGGGGATGGGGACGGGGGGCGAGGGGCGTGCCGGGCCCGGCCACGGCGGAACAGGCACAGGGGAGGGGGAGGGCACCGGGACACAGCGGGGCCGGGGGAGGGGGTTCAGGGACCCCCGTGTGGGGGGGAGCGGCCAGAGCCCCTGATTCGGGGTGGGGGATTCTGCCAGGGTCCATTGGTGCCATGGGAGCGGGGTCAAGGCCCTCATTCTGGGGAAGGGGAGCTGCCAGAGCCCCTAATTTGGGACGGGGAGAGCTGCCAGGCTCTTTTGGTACCGTGGGAGGGGGTTCAGGACCCCCAGTCTCGAGTGGAGGCTCTGCCACGGCCCACTGGGGCGATGTGAGAGGGCCCAGGCTCCCCCAGCCCTGTGTGGGGCCACCCCATCCTCACATCTCCCCCCATCCCTGCTCTGAGCAGGATGCCCCGAGCCTGCCCTGGGCCCTGTATCCTCCCGGTGCATCCATCCCTCAGGAACATTCCTTCCGGAGTGCTGGCTCCAGGCCCACCTTCGGCACTGTGTCCCTCATCCTGTGTTCCCTCTGCAGGCCAAGTACAAGGAGCGAGGGACGGTCCTGGCCGAAGACCAGCTGGCCCAGGTGGGAGATCCCCCCCTGCCCTGGGGTTGTCCCCCCCCTGTCCCCTTCTGCACTCATGTCCAGGGCATTTTCCATGCCCAGTGCCTCATCCCCAGCGCTGCCTGCTCCTGGTTTGTTCTCAGTGTTCTCCTCAATTCCCTTCCAGATGTCCAAGCAGCTGGACATGTTTAAGACCAACCTGGAAGAGTTTGCCAGCAAACACAAGCAGGAGATCCGGAAAAACCCCGAGTTCCGGGTGCAGTTCCAGGATATGTGTGCGACCATTGGAGTGGATCCCTTGGCGTGTGAGCAACAGGCCCTGGGCTCGAGGGCAGGATTCATCTCGCTGTTCCCAGACTCCACACAGCTCGTGGGGGAGCTGGGGGAAAGTTGTCCTAGAGGAAAACTGCCGGTGCTTTGATTCCTGGGGCTTGGGAATCGGTGGGATGCACCCTTGGGTGGGGGAAAACAGGTGGAGGTAACAGAAATCCAGGTCCTCCCTGTGAGGTTTGTGACCTGCCTTCACACCAAGAAGGATATTTTTCCCAATGTTCCAACCCCATTTCCCTCTCTCACATTGCAGCTGGTAAAGGATTCTGGTCGGAGATGTTGGGAGTTGGAGATTTTTACTACGAGCTGGGAGTGCAGATCGTTGAAGTTTGTTTGGCTCTGAAACACAGGAATGGAGGTGAGGATCCCACGCTGATTCCCGGGAGATACCACTCACCAGGAGCACTTTTCCCACTTCACTGATCCAGAAATCACCAACTCTGCCCTGTCTAGGGAACTAAAATGTAATGGAAAAGGATCATGAAAAGGAGCAGGGATCAGTGGCAATCCTGAAGGAGTTTGAGCCTGCTTGGAGCCTGAGATTGGCTCTGAAGGATCCCAGCAATATCCAGAAGGTTGGAATAGCAGATAGAAGTGCTTAATTAACAGATAGCAGATCTTCTTCACTCCAGAAGGGCAGTGTGAGACCAGGAATGGGCTGCAGCAAAGCCAGTGAAACGCCCACATTTTGTGGGAGAAGGAAACAGCTGCCTGGGGACAAGACTGGGTCATTGTCTCACCCAGTGCTTCATCCTGGGAACAATGAACAGACACTGGGAGGCTTTGGCAAAGCACAAAGGAGCCCTGACTACTCTCTCTGGAGTAGTTTTGTTGCCATGAGTGATGTTTTCCTGTCCCCTCTTGTTGTCTCCCAGGGCTGATAACACTGGAAGAACTTCACCAGCAAGTGCTGAAGGGCAGAGGGAAGTTTGCTCAGGATGTCAGCCAGTGAGTGTCTGGGTGTCCCAGGGAAGGGGAACCAAACAGGATTTGGGGAAGAAAAGGGGGTGACTGGTTTGGGGCCTCCAAACCTGGCTTCCATGTGATTCACAGTTAATGACTCAGCACACTGCTGCTGCCTGAAATGGTTTTCTCTGAAGGTCCTCAGGCTTCAAGGACTGTTGCCTTGAGCTGGGGACAATTATTTCCCCACAAATCCAGCCCCAGGCTGCTGGAGCTGCTGTGGCCTCCTCAGCAGCAGATTGTAGGACACAACTCAAACTTAATTGGGGCTGAATCTTCAAGCTTAGCACTTGAGGCTCAGCTGCTCGTGGCTTCTGCTTGAGTCTCCCTCAGCTCCAGGTCTGTAGGGCGCAGTTTGAGAGGCTCTAACTGCCCTCTGCTCCTCAGGGATGATCTCCTCCGTGCCATCAAGAAGCTGAAGGTCCTGGGGAATGGCTTTGGGATTATCCCTGTTGGTGGAACGTATCTGATCCAGTCTGTGCCAGCTGAGCTGAACATGGATCACACTGTTGTCCTGCAGCTGGCAGAGGTACCAGCTGTTAAACACACCTTGCTGCTTCCCTGGCAGGGAACTGGGATCAGACCTGTGGGCAAAACTGTCCCTGCTCTGATAAACTAGGGATTTAAGTCTTGACTCGAAGCTGATGGTGTTTTTCCTCTTTTTTCCCCAGAAAAAGGGCTTTGTGACAGTCAGTGAGATCAAGTCCAGCCTGAAGTGGGAGACGGAACGTGCAAAGCAAGTGCTGGTAGGTGGGGGGGTCTCGTGTGCCAGGAGGGCTGTTCCTGCAGGGCACACACGGGGCTGGGAAGGCAGCACCAGGGATGCACAGGGACCCTGAGCTGCTGGAAGTCCAACAGCAGAGCACACACTGTGTAAACGTGGACTGGGGAAAGCAGAATCCCAGGAGCTGCAGATATTCCCCCGCTTTCACTGATTTCATAGCATAGTTTGGGTGGGAAGGGACCTTAAAGCCCATCCAGTCCCACCCCCTGCCACAGGCACCTTCCACCGGCCCAGGTTGCTCCAGGTTCCATCCAGCCTGGCCTTGGACACTCCCAGGGCTGGGGCAGCCACAGCTTCTCTGGGCAACCTGTGCCAGGGCCTGCCCACCCTCACAGAGAGGAATTTCTTCCCAGTATCCCACCTAACCCTGTCCTCTTTGAATCTCTGAAGTCAGTTTGAATCCTGTGAGCTCATACACACAGGAAGATGTCTGGACTATATTCCTCCTGGTCAAGTTGAATAAAAATTATCACAGCCCAAGTTCTACCCCCTCCTTTCCCTATAATGAAGGTGGGATTGGGCTCTCTTGGGAATGTCCCCTGAGCCATTCAGGTTTCACTCACAGTTTCTGCTCTGTTTGTACAGGAACACTTGCTGAAGGAAGGAATGGCCTGGCTGGATGAGCAGGCACCAGAAGAACCTCAGTACTGGCTCCCTGCTCTCTTTACAGAGCTGTACTCTCAGGAAATCACTCCAGAGGAAGCCAAGGAGGCAATTCCTTGACTGCTCCCTGCTCTGTGCCTGTCTAGAATCCTCGGGAGGTTCTCTGCATATCACCTGAAACACAGGGACAGTGGACTTCAAATAAAAGTTTTGTAAAAAGTGTCTACCTTGGAAAATTTTCTAAGATTCGTTCCTGCTGGCTTACCTCTGGATGTGCTCCCTGGCTGGGGGTGGAAATGCCACTTGCTCCTGGAAACTAAATGTCACAGCAAGAGGAAAAGTATCTGGAGTCCTAAAGGATGCAAATGGGATTCTGGCTAAAGAAGTGGGGAAGCTGTTGGGTAGCTCTCTGCTCTGTGAAGGAGTTGCTGGTTGGTTGGTTGTTGTTCCACTAAGGAATTACCACAGGCTCCATTCTGCCAAAACAAACTTTATTGCACAAAAAAAAAAAAAGAAAAGAAAAAAAAAGGAAAAAAAAAAAAAGAATCTTATGTACAATAGTATATAAACAAGGTATCTTAGAGTGACTCTTGTGCATATATTTTCAACTCAATTAGGTCTAAAAATCTGTTGCTAAAACATCTCTGCCTAGAGCAGTCATTGAGGATTGTCACTTGGAAATGGAGACATTCAGAAATGGCAGGACAGAACGTCAG